TATTTTTTAAGTGTATTTTTTCCACGAGCAAGAAAGAGACAGAGGGCATCCCCAGGAGGGTCTTCATGCCACGACCCACCCCCACGTGCTCAGGTGTCTGAGCTTCTCCTCTTGTCCAGTTTACTGCAGCAGCTCCGCTCCTACTCTTCTCAAAGCATAAAAAGAATGTAAGTCTTTTCAGGTCAGCTCACAAACAGCTAGCTCCCCTTTAAAACTGCCAGCTGGTTTCTCTCAACTCTGCATGGGAGGACTTCCCTTTCTCTTCCAACCAGGTGAACCCAGGAGGCTTGAGAGAACAGGTGCCGCCATAGCCCTGTGGAAAGGAGACCCAAGGGCTCCCACCACGAAGGGTCTGCAAAGCTGCCCAGAGCACATGCCTGTCAGGAGTGTGCCCACCTCTGGGGCACTAGGAGAGGCTGTCGAAGGCCTCAGCAAGTCTGAGGACAGCAGAGAACTTCCCCCCTCCCCTATGAGATAGAGGCGGGGAGAGAAGGAAAGAGAGAGACAGAGACAGGGTATTTGATAGGGTCTTGCCAAGTCACGATCCTCCTTCCTCGATGTCCCACTTCGCTAGGATCACAGGCATGCACACCCAGGCCCGGCGTGTGCAGGCTGGCCTGGGAACCAAACCCGGGCTTTCTGTGCAGCTTCCAGCCTCCCAAGTGGTGTGCCAACCTCTGTGCCACTGTGGCTGGGCCAAGATCTTTATCTTTGGAGACCAGACATTTAGAGCCAGAAAAAGACTTTTGAAATACTCCATCTCATTTTTCAGATGAGGACATTTAGGGCTTAGAGAGGCTTAGAGAGGCTTAAGACCCACAGACCCAGCCAGCCAGAGGCAGAGGGATCCGAAAATTTTAAATATTTTAAAATTAGAGCCAGCCCATGGCCTGGTGGTTACATGAACTGAGTCTCATGGCCAGCTGCGTGGTTTGAGTCCTAGACGCAATGGCTTGAAAATCACACCAGGTAAAAATCCCAAAAGGTGGGAGAGATGGAGGAGAAGGAATTGTGGCATGACTATCCCATCCCCTATGGGGGTGATTTCTCTCTCTCTTTCTCCCTTCTCTCTCTCCCTGTCTCCTCCAACCCCTGGCAAGTTGAAAACTTTTTAAACATATATTTCAACAATTTTAAAAACCTTCTAGAATATGGAAAATAATTTTAAATATTCATGATAGAGCATGTATGTGCACAAAAGGGAGAGCAAAATCACCCTGCAATCCCCTTCCTCCAGTTCTCCAGCCCACCAGGATCCCAGGCATGCACACACATCAGACATGTTTTCAGGTTGACGGGGCCAGGGACTCAAACAGCAGTCAACATGTGGCTTCCAGTTCCTCGGTTCTGCCCACCACCAACTGCACCACAGAGGCTGGGCCAGCCCCGCGGTCTAGTGGGTTAAGGGAGCCTGCTGCCATGTGGCTGGATGTACAGTTCAAATCGCAGCTCCAGCAGCTTGAGAACACACTAGGCACATGTGTGCCCCTGCTCCAAATCCCAACGGAATAGAGAAATGGAAGAGAAGGAATTGCAATGTAATATCCCTTGGGGGGGTGCTTTCTCTTTCTCTCCCTCTCTCTCTGTCTCTCTCCAGTGAGCACCCCACTCATTGGCAAAATTTTTTTTAATTAAAAAAATAATTACCATCCTGTATTTTTGTTCACTGATTTATGCAGATAAAAAATGCTAAATAGCATTTAACATACAGACATATAGCTATGTGTGTCTGAAGTAATAGGAGTGATTTTGTAAGCCACATAACACAACTAATTTGAGAGTTTCTGTTGGGATTCTGAATCACAGGTGCCATAAGTGTGTGCTCTCTTGACAGGAAGCCCTGGAAACCCAGGAAGCAGAACGTACAAATTTACGTTCACCAGCTTCTCAGGGGAGAAGAGGAAAATAGCCACGTAGGAGACACCAGTCTTTTTTTTTTTTATTGGAAACAAGAAAGACAGTTTCCTCCGTATCAGGTCTGCTTCCACGCACGGTGCAGCAGAAGCTGGGCTGCGGTGGGAGCCAGTGTGGGGCAGGAACAGGCATGCTGGGCTGGGGCGACAGGGCGGGGGCCATCTGGGCGACATCACACACCAGAGCATCCATGTGCACTTGCACACCACACGTGTGTACCTTGCAGATATGCAGAGCACTCATGATGGCCAGAGCGAGTGTCCCTCTGCAGGTGGGCAGCGTGCTTGTCTGTGTGGTCTTACCCCAGCTGGGACTCAGGACCCACCCTGACCCCTGTCTGTCCCACTCAGGCTGCTCAAACAGTCTTTAGAACGATTCCCATGAGAATGGCCCTGCCTGGGAATGCTTTTTTCCTTTCTTCCTTTTCTTGTTTTGTTTTGGGAGCTAAAGCTCCTTCCCAAGGCTCAAGACTTCACAGCATCAGAGGGAGAGTGGCCGTCACCCTGTGAGTCGGTGACTGCTCCAATATATCTCAGCTGCGTACATTAGCATGTTTAGAGAGCAGTAAGACTGTCAGTTCCTTTAGTTTTGTTTTATTATTATTATTTTAGCTTTAGTTTTGCCATAGAGCATCCATGCTCACCAGAGAGATGGCATGGGGGGTGGAGGTGAAAATCACCCCCCAGGGAGGATGGCTGCACTGCTTTCCCTTCTCCACTCTCCTCTTGGAATTCTGGGCATGCACACACACGCACATGGCATGTTTTTCAAGCTGCTGGGTCTGGGATTTGAACTGCACAGTCAGCCCTGAGGATCCAGCGCCTTAACTCCCACACAGCCTGGTTGGGCCTCCTTTAGTTTTCTTGACAGCCACGTGATGTTCCTGTGTGGCAGAAAGGAATGACTGAAAGCTTCCCGTGGGAAGCATCTCCTCACCCCTCTTCCCTGGCCCCATCACCCTAAGGGAGAAGGGCAGCGAGGGCGGCCATGGGAGGAGGCTGCTGACACTGGCTTTTCTCCTCTGGTGTCCCGCAGCTGGTCTTGCGAATCAACGCCATTTACGAGGCCCGGAGAGGGAAGAAACGGGTGAAGAGGCTGTCCCAGTCCACGGAGAGCAACTCAGGAAAAGGTAACCCCTGCCACCAGCCCTTCTCCCCCAAGAATCTGAAAACTTCCTAGAAGTCATTTCTGGGAGTCTCACCAAAGTGAACAAGTGGGTGCGTTGTAAATGTCTCCCACTGTCCCAGGTCAGGCAAGAGCCAGGAGCTCAGCCTGGGTGGCGTGTCCTCTGGCTCCCTTTGCCTTGTCCTCCAGCAGCCGGCCAAGTGTGGGTGCCTGCCCATCATAGCCACCTCCTTTCCTCAGCATGAGGTGGGAAGGGGGTTGTTTGGGAAGGGTGTCCTTTGCTGTAGTATTTGATACAGCCACCATCATCTTTTTTTTTCCAAAGAATTATTTTATTTTACTTTATTTATTTATTTAAATTTTGACCAGAGAGGGACAGAATGAGAGAGAGAAGGAAAGTGAGAAAGCAAGCTGCCAGGTCCGGGGCTCGAACCGTAGTCGGCCATGTAGGAGTCCAGCACCCTTTAACCACCATGCCACCTGCTGGTCCCATACAGCCACCATCTTAATGAGAGCCTCATTAGTTTGGAAGTACATCACGTAGGACAGGACATAGTTTGAGCGTTATGTCTGGATAGACTAGGCATCCCCTGCTACTATGGAGACAAAGCTTCCTGTATTAGGACTCACGTTTGTCCCTTTCTTCCTTGTTCTTTCGTTCTAGTGACAGATGAGAACAGTGAGTCTGACAGCGACACCGAGGAGAAGCTGAAAGGTGAGAGGAATGGCTGGGCAGGGCCCAGGCAGGCCATGGCAAGCCACGAGGATGGCCCTTCCTCCTCAGTGGGAGGGACAGGAGTGTCCTGCCCAAGCTTGCTGGGCCAGGCGTGAGTGCCCGAGAGGACGTGGGGCCCCAGGATGCTCAGGAGTAATGGAGTCCAGGGTAGCTCCAGTCACTGCAGCAAGCCCGGTCTGTGCCGCCCCCTGCGTCACGGTGTTTGCAGACCAGCAGGCACCACGCTGCTGGCACTGGACCCCAGGCACCAGGAGCTCTTGGCCCACTCTGTCCGAGTTGCATGTGACCTGGAGGAAAGCCCTGAAGTTCTCAGGGCCTCTGGTTCCTCCTCTGTCTGATGGCGGGCTGAAGTCATTGCTTCCAGTGGGTCTGAAATGTGTGCTGGGGCCAGGAGTGAATGAGTTTTGCACAACTTCTCAGACCCCAGGGAGAAGCCAGAAGAAGCACGAGTGGGATCCTGAGTGAGGTGACGGGGACCTGCCCCTCTGCCCTGCCTCACCCGCCACAGCATCAGCTGCTGCCTGGCCCTCCACTAGAATGAAGCTAGTCCATTCCCACCACCCAGAACTGGGGGCAGCAGAGGCGGTGGGAGGAGCCTGAGTCAGCCCAGTCTCTGCCAGTTAAGTCACCCGGATGTTTACAAAGCTCCCAGCCCCAAAGCTGTGTGCCTGGGCTTTGTCACATCTCACAAACTCAAAGACAGAGGAAATGAGAGAGAGGAGGAGTCAGTGTCTCCACCCCGTAGGACACATGAAGGCGAGAACTTCGGAGTGAACTTTGGCAAATATCCCAAATAAAGAATTTTCTGCTAATTCGTTAGAGATGGAAGCACTCTGGGGATTAATGAAGTACTTAAGCTGGGAATTCCATAACCTGTTGCAGCTGCGTGCAGTCCACACTGGCATGTGAGTCACTGCCGGCCCTTGGTGTCTCTCTCTCGCTCTCCCTCGCCCCTTCCAGCTCACAGCCAGCGCCTGGTCAATGTGAAGTCCCGCCTGAAGCAGGCCCCTCGGTACCCGTCCCTGGACCGTGAACTTGCCGAGTACCAGCAGAGGCAGCTCTTCGAGTACTTCGTGGTCGTGTCTCTGCACAAGAAGCAGGCCGGGGCTGCCTACGTGCCGGAACTCACCCAGCAGTTCCCTCTGAAGGTGAGAGCCGGCCCTGCCTGCCAGGGACTGCAGCATTCTAGCCAGCCTTGGTGCAGATTCAGGGAATGCGGGGTCAGAGGAACACCTAGTGTCTGGGACCTGGCCAGTCAGCCCTACTTAGAGCATCTCAGATGAAAAGCACTGCTGCTGGAAAATTCGGGAGGTCCCACGGAGAGAGATTCGGGGACACGAGGTGTGGACAGAAACACGCCTCACTTCCTGTGGCCACTGTGCTGACCACCCCACCCTCTGTCCTCCCCTGTCCGTGTCCATCCAGCCACACCTCCCAGCCTATCCTAGAAGCTCCTCCCCATCCAGCCACACAGCTGTCCCTAGCAGTACACTTACGTCTGCTGAACGTCTGTGCGTGCTGTGCATCTGTTAGGGCGATGGCGCTGCGGAGACACAGCTACACCCACATGGACACCGAGAGGACACACTCATGTGGTTGTGAACCTAGCTCCTGAGACGAGGGGTGCACTGCAGTGTGAAGACCCTGCCAGGAGTACCCATCTCTTCTCTGTCTCTCTCAAGAAATATTAACAAAACAAGTGTGGGGCCAACCTCTTAGCGCAGCAGTTAAATGCTGTGCATACACGTTCAAATCCCAACCTTCAGTTTAAGAAACACACACTGTGGAACGGGGGTGGGAGGGAACAGCAGGTAGCATAGTGGTTAAGGTGCTGGACTCCCACATGGCCAACTGCGGTTCGAGTTCTGGACCTGGTGGCTTGAAACTCATGCCAGGCACATATGCATGCATGCCCAAAACCCTGAGAGAAGAATGGAGGAGAACAGATTATGGCATGGCCATCCCTCCTAAGGGGTCATTTCTCACTTTCTATCGCTCTGTCTCTCCATGGAGCATACATGCCCTATGGCAAAAAAAGTCTCAAAGAAAAAAATAAGAAAAGAAAAGAAACACTGTGTGTGGTGTGTGGTGTGTGTGTGTGTGTGTGTGTGTGTGCATATGTGCCCCCAAACCTGACATGTTGGAGAAAGAGAGAGAAGAGTATTCTGAGGTGTGGCCATGCTCAACCACCATGCCATGGGCTGGCCCAGGCACCTGACTTTCTATGCAGGGTGCCTGCCTGCAGCCCTACAGGGCCAGCCCGTGAGCGATTTTAAGTACAGCTTCCGGTAACTGCTCGTGGCTTGTATGAGAGTGTGTGTGCACCTCGGGCAGCTGACTCATGGTTGGTGACATGTGTGGGCATGTGCATGCCCGCCTTTGTGCAGACCTGTGTGATCTGGGGGTGAGTGCATCCAGGCGGCGACTGGGCCATGTTGACACTGGTGGAACTTGCTTCCCTGTGAGGTCTTCCCTTTAGTTCCCCTGGGGGGAAGCGCTGCTGTTCCTCCTTTTGTGTTCTTTATGATTTGGGGCCCTTGACTCTGGTGATCAGTGGCCCCTTACAATTTCACCTAGCTGGTATTTGCCTCTCTGCAAGACTGTCCAAGCACAGTAAAAAATTACTGCCTTGGGCACAGTCCTAGCTGTGATTTATCTACTCAAAGCTGGTTCTGGACCAGTTGTGGTCCTCCGTGCTGTGGATGGAAGACGAACTGTCATATAGACAAGGAACAGGACTGGTTATTCTGAAGACGGACAATGAGCGACTGGCTGTACGTCTGCGCAGGGTTACTGTCCTCCGTCGAGTAATGGTTGGTTCAGCCATTAGGATTCGTGTTAATAGTACCCCATGATTTGAGTCAAATTTGATCTAGCCAAAGAGGGCTCATGCCAGGGGCAGTTCGTAGAGCTGAAAACGACCAGTCTGGTGTCCTGTCCCTTTGGATACTCTCTTCAGATTGTTGAATCTTTGCTTTTTACTTAAAATGCTTTTTTATTTTTTATTTTTACTAGAGGGCATGTGTGCTTGCCAGAGAGAGGCAGAGAGACAAAGAGGGAGGAGAGGAGAAAGCACACCCATGGGGAACGGTCACACCACAGTCCCTTCTCCATCGTGCCCTCCTTTCAGGATTTGGGGCACACACACACACACACACACACACACATGCTCTTGGAATATTTCTCAGGCTGCCAGGTCCAGGACTCAAATCACACAGTCAGCCGTGTGGGATCCAGCTGTGGGAGTGACCAGGCCACAAAACCAGCTCAGTCTGTGCTTTTTAAAAGAATTTTGATATAGGGCATGTGCACTCACCCTGGAGAAAGAGAGAGGAGGAAAGTGAGAAATTGCCCCTCCAGGAGGATGGCCATACTCCAGTCCTGTCTCTTCATTCTCCTCTGGGATTTTGGGCACACACACACAAGCACCTGGTGTGATTTTTTTTAAGCCACCAGATCCAGGACTCGAACCATAATCAGCCATGTGGATTACAGTGTGTGTGCACTCGCTGGAGAGACAGAGAGAGACAGAGAGAGACAGAAAGTGAGAAATCATCCCCCAGGGGAGATGTCCACATTGCAATCCCTTCTCCTCCCAGGATCTTGGACAGGCAGGCACATGGACCTGGTGTGATTTGGAAGCCACCAGGTTAGGAACTTGAACCACAGTCAGCCATGTAGGAGTCCAGTGATGTAAACTCTATGCCAGCATCTTTTTCAAGCCACCAGGTCTGGGACTCAGACAGTATAGTCGGCCATGTGGGATCCAACCACCTTAACCCATATTCTACCTGCTGTCCCCCAACCTGTGCTTCATGTTTTTTAGGTTTTTGTCACAGGGCACATGTGTTCTCCAGAAAGAGACAGTGAGAGGGAAAGTAAGAAGTTGCCCGCCAGGCAGGATAGCCACTCCAGAATCCCTTGTCCTCCATTCTCCTGGGATTTTGGGCACCACGCGTACACATCCCGGAGTGATTTTCAAGCCACCAGGACCAGGACTCAAGCTGTGGGTGGCTATTTGGTAGTCCAGTGCCTTAACCAGTCTCCACCTGCTGGCCCCAATCTGTGCCTTTAAAGAATATACATTCCTGTCCATACACAAACTAAGCATCTCATAGCTTTATAATCTCCAACTCAGACATGAACTTAGCCTGTTCTTTGAGAAGATGATATTCATGTGGTCTCCGACGTGTCAGATACTGTCCTGGGCACTGGGGCACCCTATAGAGAGAGAAGCAGGGCAAGGAAGGCGCAAGGCGGAGATGGCTTTTCTCCCAGCTCTAACACTAGGCGTGTGATCAGGACAATCAGTTAGCACCTCAGGGCTTATTTGCTTGTCTCTGAAACAACATCAGGCAGGATGTCTAGCTCCTTCCAGAGCCAACGCTCAGAGACCTGCGGCCAGCTGAGTTTCACAGCAGGTGTCATTTCAGTGTATGTGTTATGGAGAGCATTTCCGTATCCTTTGCTGGGTGGAGGAGGGGCAGCTTTGCCTGGACTGGGAGACTGAAGTCCGGATTCGAGGCCTGGCTTCTAGATTTGTGAGCCTTCTGTTTGAAAGTGATTGCTTGGTGGGATCAGCAGGTGGTGTGGTGGTTAAGGGCGCTGGACTCCCACATGGCTGACCATGGTTCAAGTCCCAGACCTGGTGGCTTGCTTTCTCATTTCCCCCTCTCTCTTTTTCTCATTCTGTACCACTCTGATCAAATTTTTAAAACAAATAAATAAATAAATAAAGTTATTAAAGAAATAATTTTTAAAAAATAAAATGATGGCTCAGGCAGTTTTTTCTTACTGACCGGTAGTTACCTTGGGGATGTTAAGCGTAGAGAACATTTCTCTACAGAATACTATTTTTTTCTCCTGACCGCTCTTGAAAACTAGTTGCAACTGCCCTGGCGGACAGTCCCAGCAGACAGCTGTGAACCTTCCCAAGGGAAGTTAAGGTGGCAGTCACAGCTGCAGAAAGGTGCACAGTGCCACCACAGAGCCGCCATCCGCCTCCCTCTCCTGTGCAGGGATTGTTCCCGAACCTTTCTCACCTTTCTCTCTGTAGCTGGAACGGTCTTTCAAGTTCTTGAGAGAGGCCGAGGACCAGCTGAAGGCTATCCCCCAGTTCTGTTTCCCCGACGCCAAGGACTGGACTCCTGTGCAGCAGTTCGCCAGGTACGTGCTGACATCTCCCGTGGCCAGATCCAGAGACCCAGGCAAGACTTGGATGGGGCCCTCGGCGGCAGACCTCATCTGTCAGCCCTACTGTTACTCAATCCCATGACCTTGGCCTAAAGATTCCCCCGAGGGTATTTCTAACACTTCCCTCAAGTCGAGAATCACTTCGCTAAGCACACAGGTTTTCCAGGCCTCCAGCTCTGTCTGAGAGTATGTTTCTTCCCTAAGCCTCTGTGAAGGTAATTCTGAGTCTAGGGAAAGTTTGTCCCTCGCCCATCCCATCCACAGTCCCGAAATATCTAGGAGCCAGCAGTTGGTGTGGTAGCTAAGGTGCTGGATTCCTACACAACTGACCATGGTTCGAGTCCTGGACCTGGTGGCTTTCTTTCTTATATTTCCTTTCTTTCTCTGGTCAAATTAAAAAATAAAAAATAAATAAAAATAAATAATTCTTTAAAAAAATATCTGAATATATCCAGCTTGGGTTGGAATAGTGTGTGTTTCTGCTTTCACCCTTGTTGTTAGGAACCAGTATTTTTATCAGATATTCTGGCATTCGCCCTAATTCTAGGCTGTGCATTGCCTGTTTTTAGGACACTGTGCTCCTCCACCCAGTCAGTGTCTTCAAGGACAGTCCAGACCTCAGGACAAATGGACCTGTGCAAGCAGTGCCCAGGGGGCAGCTCAGACGGGGTCAGGCCAGCAGAGGCCACCTCGCCATGCTCTCTAGGGCAGCACACCCCCTCCATCTTTTTTAGTTGTGCTAGTAAATGACAGTAGTGCCCTTGGGACAGCTCAGGTGATAGGATTATATGAGCATTCCAGGTGGAATAAAAACCACCTCATTTCCGGGGAAGTAGCAGGTGGCGTGGTGGTTAAGGAGCTGGACTCCCACATGGCAGACCATAGTTCAAGTCCCCAAAGTGGTGTCTTGAAAATCACACTGGGTGTGTTTGTGGTGTGCTCAAAATCCCAAGAGGAGAAGAGATTGCAGCATGGCCGTCTCTTCTGGGGGGTGATTTCTCACTTTCCCTCTCTGTGTCTCGCTCTCATGAATGCATGTGCCCTGTGTGTATGGGGGGGGGAACCAAAAACACGAAAACAAAAACAAAAAGCCACCTCATTTCCTCTCAGGATGCAGTGAAATTTTAGATCTGCTTCACTGACTTTTACCCCAAAGCTGTAGGTAGCAGAGTCTCGGCACAGAGCAGACAGGCAGGAGGAAGTGGCTCCCTGCAGAACCTCACACACCAGGGTGATGCGCGTTCTATTGTGTTTTGCTTTGTAATGCGTTCTTGTTTTCCCACCTACAGCGAAACCTTCTCATTTGTCTTAACTGGAGAAGATGGAAGTAGGAGGTTCGGTTATTGCCGAAGACTGCTGGTTAGTACGTTCTGCTTTTCGCTTGACAGAGCTCGGTGGAGAGCCAGTCTGGCTCCCTAGGCCCTTGGGACTGAGATTTCACCATTCGCTACATAAGATGAACAGGAGGAGGGGCAGGGTAACCAGGGCAGCTAAAGCAGAACAGAAAGACTTGTGAGAAATCACCCTCCAGGCAGATGGCCACACTGCAATCTCTTCTCTTCTATTCTCAGATTTGGGGCATGCGTATACGTGCACCCAGGGTGATTTTCAAGCCACTGGGTCTTTGACTCAGACTGTAGTCAGCCACGTGGAAATCTAGCTGCCTCAACCACCACACCGCCCGCTGGCCCTCAGCTGAATCATACTGGAAAGTGAGAATAATGTTTGTCTCCCTCAGAAAGAAAGCACTTTCTTTATTGTTTTTCCCACTAAATGAAAGAAAGACCTTGCTCAGGACAGCTGGTGGTGTGATGGTTAAAGTGGCTGGACTCCACACACTGCATGGTTTGAGTCCCAGACCCGACAGCTTGAGAAACACGCAGGGCATGTGTGTATGCGTGCCCAAGATCTTGAGAAGAGAAATGGAGAAGGGATTGTGGCATGACCATCCCCAGGTGGTGCTTGCCCTCCTTTTCTCTCTCTCTCTCTCTGCCTCTCTGGTGAATGAACTAACTCTATAGCAGAATTTTTTTAAAAAGATCATGAGACCTACAGATGGTATTAACGGTTATGTCACTGGGCTCCCATGTAGCCGACCATGGTTGAAGTTGCGGCTTAAAACCCATACTGGTCACTTGTGTGTGTGTGTGTGTGTGTGTGTGTATGTGTGCAGCCAAAACTCCCAGAGGAGAATGGAGGAGAAGGGGTTGTGGAGTGGCCATCCCCCCGGGAGGGTGATTTCTCACTTTCTCTTTGCTTTTCTGGTGAGCACACACCCTAAAGCAAAAATCTCTCAAATAAAATAAATAAATAAATTTAAAAGAATTATTTTATTTAACTTTATTTATTTATTTACTTATTTATTTTAATTTGACCAGAGAGGGACACACAGAGAGAGAAAGACAGAGTGAGAGAGCGCGAACAAGCGAGCTGCCGGGTTCCAGGACTGAAACCACTATCAGCCATGTGGGAGTCCAGCACTCTTAACCACCATACCATCTGCCCACCCCAATAGATAAAATTTTTTAAAGTAATTATTTATTTAATTTTATTCATTCATTCATTTCTTTTAATTTGACCAGCTAGAGACACAGGGCCCGGGGTGGGGGTGAGAAAGCAAGCCACCAGGTCCAGGACTCAAACCATAGTTGGTCATGTAGGCGTATCATTCATTTCTTTTAATTTGACCAGCTAGAGACACAGGGCCCGGGGTGGGGGTGAGAAAGCAAGCCACCAGGTCCAGGACTCAAACCATAGTTGGTCATGTAGGAGTATCCAGCGTCTTCATCACGCCACCTGCTGACCCTAATAAATAAAAAATTAAAAAAAAACTTTCCCTTCTTAGGCCAAATACTTTTTTTTTTTAATTTTATTTACTATTATTATTTTTTAATTTGACCAGAGAGAGAAAGGGAAAGTGAGAAAGCAAACTACCAGGTCTAGGACTCAAACTGTGGTTGGCTGTGTAGGAGTCCAACACCTTAATCACCACACCACCTGCTGGCCCTGCCAAATAGTTTCCTAATAAAATGTGCTAAACAGGGACCAGCAGGTAGCGTAGTGGCTAAAGATCTGGATTCTCACATGGCTCACCATGTTCAAGTCCTAGGCCTGGCTGCTTAAAACTTAGGCCAGGCACATGTGTATGTGTGTCCACAGCCCCAAGAGGAGAGTGAAGAAGGGATTGCAGTTTGCCATTCCCCCTGGAGGATGATTTCTCACTTTCTCTCTCTCTCTCTCTCTCTCTCTCTCTCTCTCTCTTTCTGCCTTGCTCTATTTCTGGCAAGCACACATGCTCTATGGCAAAAAGCAAAAAAAAATAAACAACAAAAAAAAACACAAGAGGACCAGCAGTTGGCATAATGGCTATGCTGCACTCCCATGTAGTCAACCGCGGGTCAAGTCCCAGACCCTGTGGCCTAATCTCATGCCAGACGCGTGTGCGTGTGTGCCCAAGATCCCAAGAGGAGAATGGAGGAGAAGGGATTGCGGCGTGGCCATCCCTCCTGGGAGTGATTTCTCGCTTTCTGTCTCTCTGTCTCTGTCCTTCTGGTGATCATATGTGCCCTGTAGCAAAAACCTCTCCAAAAAAAAAAGTGCTAAAAAGATCCTGATTACTTAGGGAGAACACTCAGAATAGTTACTGAATACTCAAACACTTTAAAGGGCTCAAATAATTTAAAAATATTCACTTCAGAACAGTCACCTTTGGGCAGCCCCGTGTCCCAGGAGTCAAGGGAGCTGGCCACATGGCTTGAGTCCTGGATGCACGTTTGTGCACGGCCATAACCCTAGCAGGATGGAGTAATGGAGGAGACAGGATTGCAGTGTGACTGTTCACCATGGAAGGGTGTGTTTTCCCTTTCTCGCTCTCTCTGTTTCTCAGCAGACACACGTACCCACTGACAAATTGGGGGGCGGGGGGGAAAACCTTTAAAGTCAGAAACTTGGGGCCAGCTGGTGGTGTGGTTAAGGGCACTGGACTCCCACATGACCAATAGTGGTTCAAGTCCCAGACCTGGGAGCTTGATTTCTCCCTTTCCCTCTCTCTCTCTCTCGCTCTGTCCCTCTCTGGTCAAATTAAAATAAGTAAAATAAAAATAAATAAAGTTAAATAAAGTGATTTTTTTCTTGGAGAGGTTTTCGCTATAGGGCGCATGTGCTCGCCAGGAAGACAGAGAGAGACAGAGAGATAGAAAGTGAGAAATCACCCCCCGGGGGGATGGCCACACCGCAATCCCTTCTCCTCCATTCTCCTCTTGGGATCTTGGGCATGCACACACACGCGCCCGGCGTGAGTTTAAGCCACCGGGTCCAGGACTCGAACCGCAGTTGACTACGTGGGAGTCAGGTGCAAAGCAATTACCCTTACTGCTGGTTCCAATAAAGGAATTGTTTAAAAAAAAAATCAGAAACTTAAGACCAGTAGACCAGTAGGTGGTGTGCTGGTTAAGGCACTGGATTCCCACATGGCCAATGCAGTTCAAGTCCCAAGCCTGGTGGCTTGAAAATCATGCCGGGTACATATGCAGTGCATTCCCAAAATCCTGAGGCAAGGATGGAGAAGGGATTGCAGTGTAGTCACTGTTCAGGTCCCGGACATGGCAGCTTGCTTCCTTACTCTCCTTTTCTCTCTGGTCAAATTAAAAAATACTGTAAAATGAAATGGATAATTCTTTTTTAAAAAAGAATCATTAAAATTATTACTATTATTATTCAGTTTGACTAGAAAGAGGTAGAAAGTGAAAGTGAGGAAGCAAGCCACCAGGCCTGGGACCCGTACTGCATTTGGCCATGTGGGAGTCCAGCACCTTACCTACCATGCCACCTCCCGGCCCCAAAATAGATAATTCTTAAATAAAAAAATAAAAAAAAAAAAAAGTACCTGTCTTGTGAACAGAAGTGCTTCCTAGTCATAACTACTGGTAACTATTGTACTTACCTCTGTGGAAACATCTGGCACACAACGACTCTACAAGCATTGTTTTTTTTTTCCTTCTCTGAGGTTGTTAACACTCATAATTCCCTTGTGTTTCTTGCCAAAAAGCCTGGAGGCAAAGGGAAGCGCCTTCCGGAAGTTTACTGCATTGTGAGCCGCCTGGGATGTTTCAGCCTCTTCTCGAAGGTGAGACCTTGGCGTGAGGAGAGAGGGAGGAAAGACGGGCTCTGCAGGGACCCAGGGAACAGCCCCATCTCGTACTGGTCTTCATGTTCTGCGTTGATCAGCAGATATTTAGTACAATAGTGCCTGCTCCACACGAGGCACTGGGACTACAGGAGTGGGCAGATCGGGGTACACCCTGACGGTGCAGACTGTAAGCTGCAAGGGACCCTCCGTGTTTGGCCTGCTCCCCTCCCCTCACTCACCCTGACGAGATGTGTGAACACGGAGGACTTCAGATGGGGCTGCACGGATCGTGTACATTTCTAATTTGAACAACCCAGAAAAAGGAACAGAATCAAAGTGAAAATGGAGAGGCACAGCAGTTACATCCAAGGGTCTGAAACTAAGGACCGGTCAGGCCTTCACATGAGATGGTTCTTCTCCAAGAGGCTTTGTGTTGCTTCCAGGGCCAGTGGCGCCAGGCCCCGAGGTTCTGTAACCTTGTTCCTACCTATTTTCCTGTCTGTTTCTTCTGTCCTCATCACCTCCTCTGTTCTCTCATCACTGGTATAGGAAATAAGAGGTAAGAAGGACCAGGCCCAGACAGTGGGGGACAGGATGTTCCCAGCATATTCCAGATGTGTTACTTTGTTGCTTCTAAGCATTGTCTTTTCTCATATTAGCTTTTGCTGGAAAAAATACCACTATGGTGGATGGATGTGTATCTATGTATGTATGTCATTTATATATTTTTGTTTGTTTGTTTTTTTGCTATAGAGTACTATAGCACTGTTGTGCTAACCAAAAACAGAGTGAAATCACCCCCACAATACCTTCTCTTCCATTCTCCTCTCAGGATTTTAGGTGCATACGCACACGTGTCCGGCATAACATTCCAGCCATGAGGTCTGGGACTTAAACCGTATAGTCAGCCAAGTAGAGCCAACCTCCCAACCTCCACGCCACCTGCTGACCCCAAGATTTATTATTATAATAGTGTTTTAAGTTTACAGAAATAGTAATATGATTTGGTTCTCTTTTCTGTAAAACATGCCAATATGTAAAGATTTGAAAGTAATTGCCATATCGAATCAGCTCATCCACTCCAGTACTTCAGTTTGGCATACAGAGAGACTTACTGTTCTATATAAGGGATTTCAGACATTTGTGGGAAATGGAATAAAAGTGCAAGTTTATTTTGGTGCAAAAACAATCGGAATCTTTGCATAGTTTTTTTTTTCACAATGCATACTTGACACTTCCTTTATTTTATTTTTTTAGATTTTTTTTTTTGCTATCGGGCACATGCGCTCACCAGAGAGACAGACAGAAAGTGAGACATCACCCCCTGGGGTGGGTGGGCACACCACAATCCCTTCTCCTCCTGGGATCTTGGGCGCGATGCACATGCGCCTGGCATGAGGTTCAAGCCACTTGGTCCTGTACTCAAATTGCAGTCAGCCTTGTGAGAGTCCAGCGACGTAACCATTACACCATCTGCTGGTCCATACTTTTTTAGTTGCCGAAGAGTACATGTACTCACCAGAGAGAGGCAGAGGGAGAGCGAGAGAAAGCACCCCGCCCCCGTGGGATGTGGTGATGGCACAATCCCTCCTCCTCCATTCCTCCATCCTGTTGGGACTTTGGGTGCACACACACGCACCAAGCATGTTTTTCAAGCCACTGGGGTCGGGATTTGAACTGTGGTTGGCCATGTGGCTCCCTTAACCACTAGGCTGTGGAGCTGGCCTTTCATGAACTTTTTAAAGGCCCTTTATGTGATGTTAATCTTAAAAATTTAGTGTAATCCAACATTTATTTTCTGTATTTACCAGACAGGAGTGTCTAATCAGTTTATTTTAAATCCTTCTCGAGTGTGTGTTCGGTCTAAGCCTTCTTTTGTAGCACTGAAATCCCTCTGTCTAGTACCCATGCACGTGAAGTGGCGCTCTCGAGACAAAAAGGATTTCTAGACCAAAGTCTCCTGCCCACTCTCCACCTGAACTCGGAGGGAGCCTGCATCATATGCTAGAGTGTGGTCTTGTGCCTCACAGAACTTGGACTTCTCTGTTGGAAAGAACTGATGCTATCAGAGTAATCTGACACTCGCTCTCACCTCCTCTCCCCTGAGGTGGTAATCACTTTACATTCAAGTGGGTCACCACCCAGGGCTCCGGGGTACTGCGCAGGCCAGTGTTTCAGATGCTTTGTTTAAGTGTGAAGTAAGGGTGTAGGTCGGAGGTCGCAGCCTTTGCTGTCAGAAAGGTTATGAAATGATTATAGAAGTGACACAGCTGGGGAGCAGCAGAAGGGCATAATGGTTACATCTTTGGACTCCCACATGCCCTGCCACTATTTGAGTCCCGAACCCAACGGCCTAAAACTCATGCTGGGTGCGTGTACCTACCTGTCCAAAATCCCAAGGAGAGGATAGAGGAGAAGGGATTGTGGTGTGGCCATCCCCCTTGGGGGGGGTGATTTCTCACTTTCTGTCTCTCTGTCTCTGTCTCACACATGTGTCCTATAGCAAAAATCTCTCTTTCCAAAAAATATTTTTTTAAAGAGGTAAGAGAAGCTTAGTAAATAATAAAATACTATTTATTTGAGTTGCTGAAATTGATTCATTTTAAGGTTTATATGAAAAGTTTATCAATATTTCATTTACGCCATCATTTTCCTCTGTGTTTCCTCAGAGGCATTCACTAAGGTTTGGTTTTAGTAAACAATTGCTTTTTTAAAAAATTATTTATTTTGCATCCATTCACTGAATATCATCACGGCATACCGGATGCCGTTTCCCACCCAGAATACACCATATAGTGGCTTAGCCATACATGTTATCAGGACATAATTTTCCATTTCTTGTTTCATATGTATATGAAACATTTCTCACCCTCCGCCATATCCCCCTCTCCTCCCACTCCATCTCTGGTATCTGCAGTTGCTTTCCATTCCTTTTTTTCTCTCCCACATTTTATTAGTTAACAAAGCATCTTAATTGATCTAGCTACTTTCAATAGCAAGCTCAGCTGATATATAAACATCTGTGAGCAAATGTTTGGCTTTCGGCTGAAACTGTGAGTAGAACGAATAGACTACGAAATAGCACCTACCTGAGGCTATATAGCTTACTTGGTCATTAAATAGGTATTTTTAATATGCTTTTTTTAATTTCAAAAAAGGCAGTTTTAGCTTTAATAAATCAAAATAAAAAAGTGTTAAGAGAACTTTGCTTAAGATCTAAAGCCAGGAAGCAGGTTAGGCTTCTGTTCAAATAGTAGTTACCTGGGTGTGTCGACAATTCAAGAGAAGACAAAAATCCTTATAATTGCTTTTAAAGGATAAAAATGAACGCTACAGGGACCAGCAGATGATGTAATGGTTACGTCACTGGACTCCCACATAGTCAATCATGGTTCGAGTTCCGGACCTGGATGCTTAAACTCATGCTGGGCTATGGGGTGATCTCTCTCTTTCTCTCTCTCCCTCTCTCTCTGTCAAGTGCACACACCCTATAGCAAAAACCTCTCCAAAAAAAAAAAGAAAACTACAGAGCCAGGAGATGGTGTGGTGGTTAAGGGCACTGGACTCCCACATGGCTGACCACGGTTCGAGTGGTCCTAGCTCGAGTGGTCCTAGCCTAAAGGCAGCAATCCTTCATTGTCCCAGAGGCTTTGGTCAGCTGGCGTTTGGACCTAGCAGCTTGCTTTCTCACTTTTCCTCTCTCTAACTCTGTCCCTCTCTGGTCACATTAACAAATAAATAAATAAGTTAAATAAAATAATTCTTTAAAAAATAAAGCTAAAAAGTGTATGTTTAAGGGAGTTCAGTGATACTCCACAATCTGAGATAATTTCATAATTGTAAAGATAGAAAATGTATTGATAAACAAATATGTAAAATTATAAATATGTAAAAAGAAAAAAATTTTGTCTGCTGTGCATGGCATTTCATGTGTTAAATATTTTTTAGTCTAAAGTGAAATATAGGGGCCAGCAGGTGGCATGGTGGTTAAGGGCCCTGGACTCCCACATGGCCGACCATGGTTCAAGTCCTGGACCTGGTGACTTGCTTTCTCACTTTCCATCTCTCATGCTCTCTCTCACTCTGTCCCTCTCTGGTCAAATTAAAATAAATAAAATAAAATAATTATTTATATTGAATGTTTGCCTCTGAAAAAAAGTAACACAGCTCAAGTGAGTTAGCCCCGCTCCCTGGTGGGGCTGTGGCATTCTCCCAGCTTCGTTGATGTGTCACGTTGACAGGACCAAGTGAGCACTCCGCAGACCCGTGTGGTGCACAGCCTGTGTGTCCGTGTCTGTTTCCTAAGTAGGGTACTATAGAGGTGTAGCGTGATGACTTGCCAAAGTCCTACAGCAGTGCTCACAGTGAACATTCGGAGCAGAAACGGAGCTTCAGGGCCAGCCCGTGGCATGGCGGTTGAGGCAGCAGGATCCCACGTGGCCAGCTGTGCTGTTCAAGTCCCAGACCCGGCAGCTTGAGAAACACACCAGGCATATGTGCTGTGTGCCCAAAGTCTTGGAAAGGAAAGATGGAGGGAAGGGATTGCAAGTGACCACGCCTCACCAGAAGCTGCTTCCTCTCTGTCTCGTCTCATGCATGAGTAGATACTCCCTTTAATATTTTCTTAAAATTAAGATGAAAGGGACCAGCAGATGGCATAATGGTTCCGTTGCTGGATTCCCATATAGCCAACCGTGGTTCAAGTCCCAGACCTGGTGGCTTACACCTCACACCAGATGTGTGTGCGTGTGTGCCCAAAATCCTGAGAGGAGAATGTAGGAGAGGTGACTGAGGCATGGCCATCCCCCCTGGTGATTTCTCACTTTCTATCTCTCTGTCCCTCTCTGTGTCTCTGGCGAGTGCATGCGCCCTATAGCAAAAATCTCTCTAAAAACAAAAAGAATAGAAATTATGGAAGAGAGCAGCTTTCCGAGTCTCCAAAGGAAGGGGCTTCAGCTAACTAGGGCCACGGTTACGCTGTGGGAGGAACCACAGTGGCTAAAGGCAGCAATCCTTCATTGTCCCAGAGGCTTCAGTCAGCTGGCGTGTGGCTCTGCCACTTCCACGGGGCTCACCAAGGGTCATCAGCTGGAGCCGACTGATGTTGGCGGCTCGGTCCCTGCTCTAGGCTGTGAGTCTGGGACTGATGCTGGGACATGTGGCTCTCTTTCTCTGATAGCAACCTGGTCCGTGCATGCTCTTCTTGTGACAGGGGAGGCCCAGCAGGCCCTGGCCTCCAAAAGCCTACCCTTAGAACCAACATGCCAGCAGGTGGCATGGTGGTTAGGAGACTATTTTCACAGGGCCAACCATGGTTTGAGTCCAAGACCTGGCGGCTTGCTTTCTCACTTTCTCCATCTCTGATGAGCGCATGCGCCCTGTGGTAAATTTAAAAAGTAATAATAAATAAATAAATAAAATAAAATATATTTAGTTATTTTCATTTGACCAGAGAGAGAGAGACACAAAGAGAGAGGGAGGGAAAGTGAGAAAGCGAATCACCAGGTCTGGGACCTGAACTGTGGTTGGCCATCTGGGAGTGTCTAGCACCTTAACCACCATGTCACCTGCTGGCCCTAAAATAAATAAGTTTTTTTTTTTTTGAGAGGTTTTTGCTATAGGGCACGTGCAACTTACCAAAAACACACAGAGAGACAGAGAGATAGAAAGGGAGAAATCACCCCTTAGGGTATGGCCACGCTGCAATCCCTTCTCCATTCTCCTTTTGAGATCTTGGGCATGCAGACACACGCGCCCAGTGTGAGTTTAAGCCACTGGGTCTGGGACTCGAACTGCGGTTGGCTACATGGGAGTCCAGTGACATAGCCATTACGCCAATTGCTGGTCCCCCTTACTGCCTTTTTTTTCTTTTTTTTTTTGAGAGGTTTTCGCTATAGGGCGCGTGCGCTCGCCAGACAGACAGAGAGAGACAGAAAGTGAGAAATCACCCCCCAGGGGGGATGGTCACACCGCAATCCCTTCTCCTCCATTCTCCTCTCAGGATCTTGGGCACGCACGCACACGTGCCCGGCGTGAGTTTTAAGCCACCAGGTCCAGGATGCGAACCGTGGTCGATTATGTGGGAGTCCAGCGACATAGCCATTATGCTAACTGCTGGTTCCCTCCTGTTACTGCCTTTTCAAGTTAAGTAAATTGTCATTTCACCTGATATACCCAAAATATTATCATTCCAACAAGTAACCTACGTGACAAATCAATGAGCAGGCTCCAGCTAACGGTACAGGGTTTCTTGCTGGGCTCTCCAGCCCCAGGCAACCTCCAGGCTACTTCCTGTCTCTGGGTTTGCCTGTACTGGACAGTCCGTCTAGCGGCATCATACAGCGAATCGCCTCGTGTCACTTGGCATGTCTCAAGGTCCACCGTGTCATAGTGTTTCTCCTCCGTACTTCCTTTCTACGGCCATTAATATTCTGTTATGTAAATATACACATTTCGTTCATCACTTCGTCAGTATGGACATTTAGTTTGTTTCCATTTTCTGGCTATTATGAATACTGCTGTTACAGATTCGTGTACACGTTTTTATCTGAACGTATATTTTCATTTTTCTTGGGTAAATGTGTAGGCATGGAATTAGTCACACAGTAACTCTCTACTTAAACTTTTTTTTTTAAGAGAGATTTTTGCTATAGGGCTTGTGCACGTGCTGGAGAGACAGAGAGACAGAAAGCAAGAAATCACCCGCCAGGGTGAATGGTCAAGCCGCAACCCCTTCTCATTCTCCTCCCGGGATTTTGGGCACGCACCTGGCGTGTTTCAAGCCGCCAGGTCCAGGACTCACCCACAGTAGGCCATGTGGGAGTCCAGTGATGTAGCCATTAGGCCATCTGCTGGGCCCTCCACTTAAACTTGCGAATAGATATTTGCCGGACTGTTCTCCGAGCAACTCCATGATTTTGTGCCCCCAGCAGTGTATGACGGTTCCAGTTCCTCCACTTCTTTCCGAATACTTATTATTATCTGTCCTTCTATTACAGCCATCCCGATGGGTGGACGTGTCCTCTCAGAGGCTTTCACTTGCACCCCCGATAGCTGTCTCCCCACCTGATGGAATTCCAGTTCCACAGATACACGGCATCTCTCTGTGTGCCCGTGAGGGCTGCACACCCTCACATTCGAGTTTTATCTCCCCCATCCTAAGAACTCATTCTTAACCCCGTGGGGGCAGTATTGCTTCCATTGGGAAGGGAGGTATTAGCCCAGTCAGCCACATGTCCAAACCCAGAGTCAGGGGACAAGGAACTGCTCTCCACCCCCTCAGGGAGCAGGACTGCAGAGGGACTGGGACATGGGGGAGAGCTGGGGCCAGCGGCACAGGGGGCCAGGCAGCCTGTAATGTACCTTTGGTCCAGTGAGAACTGCGGCTTCCCCAGAATTGTCCAGTCCCATGGCAGGCCCGTTTTCCCCAGAACAGGGCCACACCTGGGGACTCTGGTGTCACACTAGCTAAGCCACTTTTCTGATCCTTGCAGATCTTGGATGAGGTGGAAAAAAGACGCGGCATCTCTCCTGCGCTGGTCCAGCCCCTCATGAGGAGTGTCATGGAAGCCCCTTTCCCAGCCCTGGGTAAAACCATCGTGGTCAAGAACTTCTTGCCAGGCTCAGGAACCGAGGTGAGCTGTCAGACTCCTTTCCTCTGCTAGAGAAGAAGCGACCTAGACAGCCGAGTCCTGGTGGCCAGAGGGCTGGCTCAGTGGCCCATCCGTCGGTAGTGCCCTCTCCCTACCTCACACTGGCCCAGGGCACTCACCACAAGGTCCATCCGCAGCCCAGCCTGTCAGCCCCGGGTTCTGCCCGAGAGTAAACCTGAGGAACTATGCTCGGCAGTGCGTGGTGTTCTCGTGCTGCTGGCTCAGGTTAGGGACGCGCACTGACCACACTTGGCTTCTCTTCCTAGCCCACTGGCATGTGTAACGTTTATCTGGGCCTACTTAATTCTTGAGTCTGAGCACCTCTCTAACTTCATCATGGAAGGCAGGTTATCGTAAAAGAAGACAGGCTCAGGGGTGACTTTCCATTCATCTTAGACTTTGCAGGTTGTCCCTTTCCTGTCTGGGCTGGGATTTGATGGAGGAGTGTATTTTTGTCCTCCTTCCCTTCGTGTGGCTCTGTGGACATCAGAAGACTGATCTCATTTGGCCTTGAGTCCAAAAACCCTCAGAACATCAGTCACGTCTGGGGACAAAGAAGGGATGAGGGTGGGTCAGCGACAACCTGGAACAACCCATTTCCCAGTACAGAGAGCAGTGGCCTTCCTGTTGCTGGAGAAACCGGAGCCCTCCTATCTCCCGTGCAGATGGCTTGGCCTTGGGGGTGTGGCAGGGCCGTTGACAGTGAGTGAACCCCGGGGAGGGGCAGCCTGGGCAGAGCTGGGCAGAGGAGACTCTAGTCTCCACTCCCCGTGGAGCAGGCAGCGGTTTAAAGAGAAGAGCCATGCACGTGAGTAGCAGCGTGAGAGCAGGCACGTCAGGAGTGCGGATGGGCCTAAGAGCTGTGGAAGTGCCGGAGCGCCTCTAACGGCCGTGAGTCTTAGAGTGCTGGTCGTCCACACTAATCTGTGACTGGGCTCCAGCGGGTCATTGTCCCTGTGAGGAGGTGTGTTCCGCTGGGGCTCTCGAGGGCAGGGACAACTTTCAACACCCACAGGCCCCTCCATGAGGAGTCCAGATGTGCCGTCACCAGGGAAAGCTGCCCGACTGCTCGGCGCCCTGGGCTCTGCCATCCTCTTCCTCACCTCCTTGCAGACGTCCTCAGTCTCATAGTGGCAGCTTTGGTGCTTCCTTCCCTCCCAAACGACCTCCTGCCCCAGTCTCCGGATCTCCCTGTTTCCCAGTGCCTTTTCTTTCCTTTTCCTCTGCCAAGGGGTCCCCCCACTGAGGACCACAGAGCCTGGGACTTCAATGCTGTGAGAGGCCTGGCTGAGCAGGCTGGCCCCTCCTTCACGGCTCTCCCGTTCCCCGGCAGGTGATCGAGCTGTGCCGCCCGCTGGACTCCCGGCTCGAACACGTGGACTTTGAGTCTCTCTTCTCCTCCCTCAGCGTCCGCCACCTGGTCTGCGTTTTTGCCTCCCTGCTCCTGGAAAGGAGGGTCATCTTCATCGCAGACAAGCTCAGGTACCGGCCTTGGCACTTATGCTAGAGCGTGTGAATGACAGGTGGTCGGCCGCACAGTGTCCTAGGGCTGATGACCACGCCCTTCTCGGGCAGCCAGGACCACAGGCTCGCAAGGCGCCCTGGTCGTGCTGGGCCAGCTGAGCCTGCCCACCTCTCTACTCTTTGCCTCATCCATTCATTCTGCTATTCACTGGGCTCTTCCGTGTGCTGGGGAAACAGATAATAGTCCTCTTTAGTCCTAATAGTCCTCTCAGTCCAGGGCCAGCAGTTGGCATGTGGTTAAGGCACTGGATCCCACATGGCCAGTGGAGTGGTTTGAATCCCTGACTCGGCAACTTGAAAGACACATGTGTGCATGTGTGCCCAAAATCCTAGAGGGAGGATGGAGGAGAAGGGATTGCAGCATGGCATCCACCCTGGGGGTGATATCTCACTTTCCCTCTCTTTCTCTGTCTCTCTCCAGTGAGTGCATGCACCCTACAGCAAAGTAATAATAATAATAATAATTAGTCCTCAGTTCAGTGCAAGACTAGAGAAGTAGCTAGACCACACAGCACCATGTTGGAAAGGCTTGGTGGGGCAGTGAGTTCTGGAGATGCAGGGAGGGCACCCACTCCCAGGGGAGCTGAGTCTGAGCAATAGAAGACCAAGAGCAAGGAGGAAGCACATTCCGGGTGAAAGGCACTGTCTATGGAAGTCAGGGAAGCGGGGAGGCCGGGCATGGCACCTTCAGCAGCTCTAGATCACTGTGGCTGGAGCAGAGGGAGGAAGTGGAGGAGAACGGTTTGAGAGGGCAGAGTGGACAGAGGTCAGCCTAGAGAAGGACCAGAGGGCTGGCTCAGGAGCACACGCTTAGCCTGAAGGCATCCGTTTCCTCCTTATTAAAATAAGTCACATCCAGGGGCCAGCAGATGGCATAGTGGTTATGTTGCTGGATTCCCACACGGCAGACAGCAGTTCGAGTCTCGGACCCAGTGGCTTGAAACTCATGCCCAGCGCATTTGCATGTGTGCCCAAGATCCCAGGAGGAGACTGGAGGAGAAGGTATTGGAACGTGGCCATCCTCCCTGGGGGGTGATTTCTCACTTTCCCTTTCACTGTCCCTGTCTCTCTTCAGTGAGCACACACAGCCTAAGGCAAAAAAAAAAACCTCTTTAAAAAATAATAATAATAAGTCCTACCCAGAGCCAGGTGGTAGTACAGTGGTAGTATAATTGGACCCACGTGGGAAAGGGCCTGGGTTTGCCTCTGGGGACCTCCCTGAACTCACTAGCTCTGGGATCCAAGCCAGCTGAGACAGGGTGGGTTATGGTGTGAAGACCCTGTTGGGGTGCTTGTCCCTCCGGCTCTCTCTCTCATGGAAGATTTCATCAATAAATTTGTAAAATAATAATAATAACAGGGCCAGCAGGTGAAAAAGAGGTTAGGGTGGCTGGATCCCACATGGCCAGCCAGGGCTTGAGTGCCCGTGTGGAAACACCAGGCATGTGTGTGCATGCCCAGGACCCTGACAGAAGAATGGGAGAAGAAAGGATTACGCTGTGGCCAGACCCCACTGTGGGGGTTTTCTTTCTCTCCCTCTCTCTGTCTCTCTCCTTTGTGTATGCGCATGCCCCCTCTGACATAAAAACTAATAATAAAATACTAGGTTGTCGGGTAAGTCATGACATATTTTTCTTCTTTTCCGTGCAAAAATGCATCATGACTTTCCAATAAACATATGTAGTCACACACACACACATGGCCCAGTAGGAGGCCACCCATGGGCCACACTGAGTGATTTACAAAAGCCAAGTCACAAATCCAAGAAGATTTAGAAGGAAATGCAGCTAGAGATGTGAATTAATCCTGAACTTCTAAAAAGAAAAAAAAAAAAAAAAAGAAAAATTTCTTGCACTTGTTTTTTTTTTTTTTAAGAATTATTTAATTTTATTTATTATTTTTTCATTTGACCAGAGACAGAGAGAGAGAGCAAGAGGGAAAGTGAGAAAGCAAGCCACCAGGTCTTAGACTCAAACCGTGGTCAGCCAGGTAGGAGTCCAGCACCTTAACCAGCACACTAGCTACCGGCCCCTGCACTTAAGTTATTTTGAGACACTGGATCAGAGCTGCCTTGGCATTGGGACTGAGAGCCAATGCACAGGAGGTGTGCACTGCTGCAGCTCGGAGCGGGAACGCAGCCAGTGGAAAGGCAGAGAAGGCTACCACTGTGCCTCCTGTGGGCTTAGAAAGGAAATCCAGGGACCAGCAGTTAGCGTAATGGCTATGTCGCTGGACTCCCATGTAGTTGACCGCAGTTCAAGTCCCAGACGCTGTGGCTTAAACTCACGCCGGGCACATGTGTGTGCATGCCCAAGATCCCGAGAGGAGAATGGAGGAGAAGGGATTACTGCATGGCCATCCCCCCTGGGGGGTGATTTCTTGCTTTCTGTCTCTCTGTCTTTCTCTGTCTTTCTGGCGAGCGCACGCGCCCTATAGCAAAAATCTCTCCAATTAAAGAAAGAAAGGAAATCCAAATCTGCACTGTGTGACACGAAAGGGAGGAGGAGGAAGGACCACAGGATGGAGAGGACAGAACGTGTCCATGTGGAATTCCTCGGGAGGAGTGGCAGGAAGCGGCGGTCGGCCCTCCCTTCGCTGTGGCCCATCTGGTCACCTTTGTGATGCTTTTGTTTGGACAGCCGCCATGGGGCTTTTCCCAGCCAGCCTCATTCCTCCAAAGTCAGCTGCTCCCCCCAAATGTCACAGTTATTCTCCTCTCTGCACACTGGTGTCAGCCAGGAAGCAGGCCCTGTCTCTAAGCCTCAGCGGGTGCTGGGCCTGGGCTGCACTCCAGGCTCCCTGGGCACTGGGGATTTCAACTGAGTTCTCAGGGTCAGGCCCTGGAAGCCTGGAATGAGCAATAACCGTTGGTGACCAGGGTCGGATTTCATCATCGTCTTCTCTGGAAGCCTGCTACATCCTCCTGCCCCCACCTCCTCCAAGGGTAGAAATCTCAGGACTGGATTTGTGGTGGGGGGAGTTAGAAAGGCCTCCTCAGGAAGTGGGAGGCCAGCCTGAGTGACCCAGCACCCACCGGGAGTGGAGTGCAGGACCACGTCGCTGGGGAGCTTACTTCTGGGTAAAGATGTTCATCTCGGGGCCAGCTGCGGTGATGCAGTGGGAATGCGAGGCATGGTGTGCCAAAACGGGTGGGATGAGCCCAGGTCACATCCAGAGGTCTCCCTCTTGCTCCCTGCTGGGGCATGCATGATCCTGGTGGCTGGGGCCACGGATCATTGCATGAGGACCCTGGCTGGGGCCGCTGATAACTGAGTGAGGACTCTGTCTTTCTCATTCTCTCTTTATCTGAAGAAATAAGTAGAATAACACTTAAAAATAAAATAAAATAAAAAAGGCATAGGCATAGCTTTGTGGTTAAGGGAGCTAGATCCCACATGGCTAAATGAAGTTTGAATCCCAGCCCTGGCAGCTGGAAAAACATGCTGGGCACATGTATGTGTCCAAAAATTCCAACAGGATCGGGAATCGGGGAAGACCGAATTGTGGTGTGACCACATCCCCTAGCGATTAAAAATTTTTTTTCAATTGAAAAAAGAAAAAGATATTTGGGCTGGCTCCGTGGCCTGGTGGTTAAGGCAGCCAGATTCCACATAGCCGATTACCCGGTTCAAGTCCCAGATCCAGCAGCTTGAGAAACACACTAGGCATGTGTGCATATGTGCCCAAAATCCGGAAAGGAAGGACAGACAGATGGAGAAGGAGAAGGGATTGTAGCATGACCATGAAAAAAAAAAAAGGTTGGAGTTGGGGAAGGCTCAGCCTGGGAAGACGCCTGGGAAGACGGGCATGTCTGGAGAGGAACGGGCCAGCCAGAGCAGTGCCCACCGTCACTCACCTGCCCCAGGCTTCCTCCAGGGAGAACAGGAAGGAGCATTGCTTTTCTGGTCCAAGTGGAAGGGCACTGGCCAGTGAACGAAAAATAACAGAGGGCCAGCTCCGTGGCCTGGTCATTAAGGCATCTGGATCTCACCGGCCGACTCCATGGTTTAGAACCTGGCCCCAGCGGCTCGGGAAACACACCAGGCCCAGGTGCATGCATGCCCCAGATCCCAGTGGGGTGGAGAAATGAAGGAGAAGGGATTGCGGCGTGATCATGCCCCAAAGAGGAGTGCTTTCTCCCTCTCCCGCCTGTCTCTCTCTGGCAAGTGCATGTATTCTCTGGAAAACTAAAAAAGGAAAGATAGAGAAGAAAGGGAAGAGGAGCCTTGTCCAAGACAGATGCATCCCTGAAGGGCGGGGTGGCAGAAAGACACCTGAAAGTGGAAATGACACAGGTGTCTGGGAGAGGACAGGGCATACCCACCCTTTGGGTATGTCTTTTGCCGCAGCTGCCAGGCACTGAGCACCAAGGAGGTGGACTTCTGCAGGAGAGGAGGGGGCGACAGGAACACGGGGAAGTGTGGGCCCCTCCTCAGAGCCAGAGCCGGGCTTGGTGCAGCGACTGTGTGCCCTTGTGCACAGGTGTATGCACGCACGTGTGCAAGACATCCCTTAACTGTGTATCTAGACCCTGCACAGCCTTCAGACGTGCACATCCCTGTCCCATCACACAGGGCAGTTCGTGCAGAGCCAGGAGGATGCCGAACGTCCTGAGCCCTTGACCCTGGGTCCTCTTATTCATGAGACACAGGACTGTCTTGCATGCAGGCCCCTCCTGGCTCTGACTCCGGGGCTCTGGGATCTTGTTTCCCTGGAGGCAGCCCGTGCTTTTCCTATTACAAGTAGCTGAACGTGTTCTCGCTCTCCCAGTAAATCCTGTCCACTTCCTGCACTGGTTCCAGGTGGACCTAAAGAGGGGAAAAATAAATGGATAAAGGCCCAAAGAACTCAGGCAGGAAGAGCCACTGAGCCAATGACAACACCCGGATACCTCCAGCCACCGTTCCCAGGGTCTGACTGCTGTTTCATGCTCTCCACCACCCCATCAGATTTGGTGC